ATAACGAGAGTAGAGATGGGTCGAAACCTGTGTTTTCAAAAAAAAAAAAAAAACAAAAACTCGAAGCTTATAATTGATTGGAATCTCAATAAATTTTAATTTTTTTTTTTTTTTAAATCAACTTTTCAACTTTCCAAAATTTATAAAAATTCCTTTTTTTTTCTTATTCGAGTTTCGAAAGTTTTTGAATTGTAAAAGAAATTTCAAAGGGTTTCGAATATCCCATTCCTAAGAAGAAGAAACACACCGAGTACATTGTATCGTATTTTAGAATATCCGTTAGCATCGTATACTCTCCTTTGTGTGTGAAGTAAAATGTAACATAAGATATCCGTTAAAGAGGAGGAATACGACGAGAAACGAAAGAAAACGATCGCGATTAATTTTCTTAATTTCGCTTTCCTCGTGTTCGTAACCAATTATCGTTCTTCACGATACTTGTGTGATTGAGATATGCGTTCGCTGATATGGTGCTCGATGTTTTCAGATATCCTCGCGTTAAGATTGATCGGCATTTGCCATTCGTCGAAACATTGAATCCGCAAACTCTATGAAGAAATGAGAGAGAGTGAGTGAGTGAGTGAATGAGAGAGAGAGAGAGAGAGAGATGGAGAGAGATGGAGAAATTTTGGAAGACTGTCGAAAGCATCGTTGTTTTTTTCTTCATTCGCCCCTTTCCCTCCTCCCTTAATTATAAATCTTGGAATTTATGACACGCGTTGCGAGAAGCATGACGATCATTAGAATAGATGGTTGTATTGTAGCTCTCAAAATTATATTGTAGAAAATGTACGATGAGAATAAAAAAGGAATCGCAAATGATCAGCTCGCGATTGCCACTGATAGTAGGCCGATCGATTTTCTTCCTCTCCTCGTCGTTCGTTTTTTTTTATTTTTTTTCTTCCCCCTTCTCTCTTCTTTTCTTTGCATGATGAAATACGTACACGTCTCTACGGTGTGTCTTCTTTCTTTTTTCTTTTTTTCACCTCTCTTTGTTCTTCCTCGTGGTTTGAATTCTCTTTGTGTCACGTTTCTTTTTTTTTTATTTTCTCTTTTTTTTTTCAAGATTTGTGGAAGAAGGGGCGCAATTTTATTTGATTATTGTGATTGTGTTATAGGGAGAATGTTCGGCAAAGGGAAAGTGACGAGTTTCACCCGCGAGACCCGCGTGGCACGACCCACAATTCTCGAAGAGACCAAGCTGATCGTTCGACGGGACGCGACGAAGGGTGGTACAAGCGCGTGCAAGATGTTCGAATTCAAGGAGTCGCGCCGGAGAAAGAACTTTCGAGAAGGAGGTCCGGCAAGATCCGAAGATCCAGGGGAATTGAACGAAATCGTCTCGCTCACGGAGGGGGAATCGTCCGCGTGTGACGAGGACGCGACGCGAGAGAGAAGAAGAATGTTTGTAAAGAATCCTTGCAAACGAAGCTCTCGAAACAGGAACGAGAAGGAACGTAGATTGAAAATTCCACGCAACAGCGCGAAGATGGAATATTGCGATCAACACGAATTATTATCAAAACGAAAGATAAGCCCGCGCAAGGAATCGTCCACGTGCGATGAAAACGACAACGATAATGACAACAACGACAGTACACGGGAGAGAGACTCGTTCGCGCGGATAAACAGTCCGAGCAAAGGCTCACTTCGAAGGAGAATCTCGTTCGTGTTGGCGCGTAACGGAAACGGGGAAGAGGACGAAAGGGAGGGGATGAAAATACAGGCGCGGAGGAGAAGCCCGGGGGAAGGGGACGGGAGGGAGAAAATTTCATTCGTACGGATAGAGAACGAAGCGCTGACGTCGTCCAGTATGATCACCGAGGCACGGATGGAGAGGCTCGCGGGTCGGGACGAAATGCTTCGCGAACAGGGCGAGAGCAACGGGGAGGTAAAGGGAGAAAGATGGTCGGCGAGCAGCAGTTCGGAATGGATGGACGCCGGGGACGCGAGGAGGTACGCGAAAAGTTACAGGTGCGAGTGGTGCGAAGAGACGTTTCACCGTGCCACCAATTTGTCGTCGCACGTGAACAGAACCTGCCCAAGGAATCCAGACACGATGAGGAGGCGTAGCAACGGAAAGGATTTCATCGACTCATTGTATGTTTGCGACACGTGCGGGCGCCGTTTCAAGCACAGAAAGAATTTAACCTTTCACGCGCGGAACGAATGCGGAAAGGTTAGCACGTGCGAATTCTGCAAGAAGGATTTTAAGGCGGCGAAGGTGCCGTATAGGCATCGGGAAGCGTGCAAGAGAAGGTGCGAACAAACAAATGCCACTTCCGTGATGTTTCGCAGTAGGTCGACTCGTAGCCACGATGCCAATGATTCCATCGTGTCCGATAGTTCCACTTCGAATTTTATGTTCGAGATTATATCGGACAGCGAATAACTTATTTTGTGAAATTCTTTTTTGCTTTTGTTTGTTTGTTTGTTTGTTTTTTTTGGATTTAATTAGTATGAAAATATAGTTTTGTCTTAGATTCCATCGTGTCCGATATTTCTATTTCGAATTTCATGTTCGAGATTATATTACTCGAATAGTTTTTTTCGTGAAATTCTTTTTTGCTTTTGTTTTTTTATTTAATTAGTATGAAAATATTTATTAGACAGTTTTGTTAGATTCCATGCAATAGTTCCACTTCGAATTTTATATTCGAGATTATATCGGACAGTGAATAATTTATTTCGTGAAATTCTTTTTGTTTTTTATTTTTTTTTTATTTAATTAGTATAAAAGTTTATTACAATTTATTATTTATTACAATTTTGTCTTGTCGAATTGTGTTTTGTTATAAATGGTATTTGTATTGATATTATTGATATTAATCTATATCTTATTTTACTTTAAACATATCGTGACGGAGTACAGGATTCTCTTTTTATTTATTTATTTATTTTTTTTTGTACGTTTTATATCTTAAATTATTTTCTTGCCATTACTTAGTAACGATTGATTCGGTTAATTCGGAAAAAGTTTCTATTTATTTTGGAAAATTTTACTATTTAATTTTCAAATATACATAAAATTAATCTTTTTATTTTCGTTTCGTATTTATAACAAAATACCATCATATTAGATATTCTGTATGCATGATCATATAAATCACACAATTAGCAGTAATGCATAATCTGTTCTTCGATTATCGAAATCGATGATTTTGATTTAAAGATTTTTTTTTTAAATTTTTAAGCATGATGTAATATCATTCGATTTATTATAATTTTTTTTACAAAACTATTGCGAAGTTCTATGTAATAGTATATATATATACTATATATGCTATATATATATATATATATATAATGAATAAAATCAAATTAATTCACACACGTTCGTGTTAAAACCATCGTCGTAATTTTAAAGAGAAAAGATGCAACATAAAAAAACTAAGAAATGAAAATATCTTAAGTTTCTTATCCAATATTCTTGCAACTTTATTCCTTCCTCGAAATCCAAAATCCATTTTCAAATTATTAAGATTTTGAATATAATATACAAAGTGTCTCAGAAGCAAAGGCTTTAACTGCTAATTTCAAGCAACTTCTTCCTTTGCGAAGATTTTGTTAAGGAAAATGATTGATCATTGGTATGCACACAATTAACGAAATCGAAACGAAAATTTTTGCAAGAGAAAAAAATTTTTTCGAATCAGTGTTCAATTCAATTTAAATATCTCATTGAGGAACGAGAAAAAGATCTTCGTTCTATAAGTTTGTATGCGATACTTGTGATTAAAATAATATATTTTTAGACTCTTTTGTATTGGGTTAGGAAGACTTTGAAAAGGATCTTTTTTTTTTTCTTTTTATTTAGATCTTCGTATTTGTATATTATTATGAGAAGAATTCATAGCTAACATTTGTTAATCCTTAAATTGTAACAACGTAAGAAAGCGTGTAATGAGAATAAAAGGAGAAATTACGATGATCGTTCGCCATTATTTTTACTCGTTCGACCGATTTCCTCTCTTTCCATTTTTTTTTTCACCATTTCCTTGCCTCGTTTTTCTTTCCTCTGCACGATAACGGCTGTAGAAACACGACTACAATGGGTTTTCTTCTTCTTCTTTTTCTTTTTTCCCCTTAACTTACTATTTTCTTTTTAATCCCCCTTCTTTGATTTTTTTCTCTCTTTATTCCTTCCCCTTCTTCAAGTTTCAAAGCAAATGTAAACGGAAATTATTATTACTCGAATTGTGTTACAGGAAACGCGTCGAGGAAAAAGAGAACGAGATTCGAGGCGGAGCAGCTCGAGAGGATACTGTACGCGTTGAACAAAAATGAGGAGATAAGCATCCGCCCGATCGCAAGAGTGGTGCACAAGGTGAATAATCATGAAAAGATGACGAGCTCGAGCCTATTCGATCGCGAGAAGAAAAATTCGATCGAACGACGAATCGACGAGAACGAGTCTCGCGGAAACTTAAACGATGAAAGCGCGAGCAACAAAGAAAGTATCGAAAGTTTTTCGAGCGGAGAAAACGGTTGGAAGGAGGGAGGCGCGAAGGAAGGAAGAAATAAAGATACGAGCGAAGAAATGAGCGATAAAATATCGATTAAATGGGCAGAGAGCGAGCGAGAAATGGATATATCTTGCATCCGATTGGATAGCAGTCCCCCTCCTAAATTAAACAAGTTAAACAAAAAATTATACGATCAAGGATGGAACGAGGGAAGGGGAAAGTTGGCTGCGGCCAAGGAGGAGAGGAGCATACGAGGAGGAAAGGGCAAAGGGAGGAAAGATACGCGCGGGCAAAGCGAAAGTTTGTCCAAACTCGAGAATTCGCGCGAGCGGGTGGAAAAGTGGCGCGAGCGCGAAGAGAACTGCGAGGAGAGAGCGAGCTCGGAGAGGAGAGTGGGGCAGAGGGGGGGAAATTCGCGAGAACGAGTTTTTAACAAGAGTTGGCGGGGCGAAAGTTGGAAGCAAAGGAAAGAAGATAAGAGGAAGGAGGAGGGGGGTTCGTTCGCAAGGAAGAGAAACGAAGTGGGGGAAAAGGAAGAGATGGCCGGGCCGAGCAACGAGGATAACAGGATGCGAAGGGATTCGATCAGCAGCACCGCCTCAACCGTCACCGAGTGGATGGATGCGGTGGATCTTAACAAATACAGGACGACTTATTCTTGCAAATTGTGCAAGAAAACATTTCTTCGCGCCACCAATTTGTCATCGCACATGAAGAGGAATTGCCTGAAGAATCCGGAGGCGAAGTGTAATAAGCGTTCGGTGAACAGCAGCTCGCATGTTTGCAAAACGTGCGGCCATTGTTTCAAGGAGAGGAAAAGTTTGACCCATCACATACGAAACGAGTGCGGGAGGATAAGCACGTGCGAGTTTTGCAACAGGATTTTCAAAGCTGCTAAAGTACCGTATCGCCATTACGGGATTTGTAAGAACAAGCAAACAAGGAAAAACAATGCGACGCCTGTGTCGTACGTGAGACGATTCGGGCAGAGGAACAACGATGAAAGTGATTGCTCTATATCCGAGTGCAGCAGTCCCTCTTTGAACATTACGGATGAAATGGCATCCGACACCGAATAAATTATTTCGTAAAAAAAAAAAAAGTGTTCTTTTTTATATCGTTGTATTTTTAATTCTTTATATTTTCTTATATTTTTGATTTTTTTTTTTTTTTTTTGCGCCGAATTCATGCAAGAATATTTATTAATATTGTGTTCATTCTTCAATTATGTAAGTATTTTAGAAACATAAATGATATAATACGGTTAATTTACATTATTCAGTATTATTAACACCGGTAATAAATTTAGTCTATCGATTCGGTTTACTTGAACGTGCAATGGAAAATTTTGTTTTTTTTTATCATTTTTTTTTTATATATCTCGTTTATTTGCCATTAAGTAAACTACTTAAACAAACAGGCAACCTCGTACGTTTCTGTTACTATTATTATTATTAATATTATAGAAAAAAATTATTATTCATTTTTCGTTTGATAAAAGATATTTCCGTTCCGTTTTAACTTGTAACAAAAGTGTAGTACTCGATAAATATTCCGATAAAGATCAACAACCGTATTCTATCTATGATGTTAAAGATTATTTAAATTATCATTGTAACGAACGAAGCAAAAATGTATCGTTATTTATGATACATGTTTCGAGATATACAAATCAATTTATTGAACATCGACTCTCTTTTAGATTTTAAGTATACATTATAAATATAATGTGATATCGTGCGAATCAGATTGCCATATTTATATTTTATAGAATATAGCGATGCGAATTCCTATATGTAAAAGCATTACAAATAAATCAAAGTTATCAAACTTGCGCGCATTCATCCTAGAGCCATATCTTCTGAAAAAAAAAAAATCAATACAGAATTACGTTGAATGAAAAATAATATATATGTACGAAAATCCTTTAGGAGGATCGATTGTCACAGGCGTTTTGTAAGAAACGTGCTCGTCACATTCTCGAGAAAATCGATCTTCCAAAGGATTTGCACAATCTGGATATTCCTAATATAAATCATACGTGTATACATATTCTCTGGTTTCTTCTTTCCCTGTATATTAATCTTATCTCTTCTCCCCTTTTCTTCCCTCCTCTCTCTTACTAGATCTCTCTTTCTGCACCATTAAACGAGACAATACACGAATC